GGACACAACCCATTGTAATATATAAGATTTTTTTACACTCTCCCTTCAAACCAATTCTTGCTTCCTTGACAAAATTGCCCCTATTGAGAATGTGTGCACTAGCTTCTTAATGTTTTGTGGGCCATAGAGAGTCTTTTGAGACTGTGATAAAAACTATGGTTCCTACCCAGTAAAAACATGTATACATGTATGCATATATATCCAATATTTTGTAAGCAAAAATTCCAGAGGTTCATGGATCCCAACTTGAGTATTCCTGCATTAGACTGAATACCTCAAAAAATCCTTAAAGGATCTCATTCTATTAATCTGTATATTCTGAGAGTATCAACAGGTGCCTGGCCTATAAAATAATTGTAAACATCATCTCCTCACTGCTGCCAAGTTGGTTCCGACTCATAGCAATCCCTCTTTGGGTTTCCGAGGCAGTAACCCTATGGAAGTAGATTGCTCAGTCTTCCTTCCAAGTAGTGGCTGGTAGGTTTGAACTACCAACCTTCTGGTTAGCAGTCAAATGCCTTAGGCACTATGCCACCAGAGCTCATAACAGCTAACATTTATTGAGCACTTACTATGTGCCAGATACTGTACTAAGTGTTTTACATGCATTATCTCAGTTAATCCTCACAACAGACCTTTGAAGTAGTTTCTGTTACTACCCCATTTTAAGATCAGAAAACTGATGTTACCTGATGAGCTTGTGTTTAGTTCTTAGTATACTGGAAAGCCCTTAGTATAATGGGAGTCCCTGGGTGGTACAAACAGAGGCACCTCCATCATTATGAGTTGGAATTGACTTTATGGCAACTGCTATCTTTTTGGTTTTATAATGGAAAGCCATTGGATGATTTTAAGTAAGGGGTGTAGTAAAGTAAGATTAAAACTTTTTTTTTTTTTTAATCGTGGTATAATGAAGATCAAAAGGGCAGCATTTACCCAGAGATAAAGTTCAGAAGGCAGAAAGGGATAGAAAGAAGGATGATTGGAAATGGGGAACACAGGGAGGAGGTAAGAAGAGTGCTGTTACATTGTGGATATTGCAATCATTGTCATGAAACAAATTTTGTATGAATTGTTGAATGGAAAACTAATTTGCTCTGTAAACTTTCACCCAAATCTCAATAAAAAGTTAAGAAAATAAATAGCAGTATAGCATGTATACAGAAAATTACACAAATATTAAGTGGATTTTTACATATTGTATATATGTACCCCTGTGAAACTACTATCCAGATCAAGATACAGCACATTTTCAGCACCCAGAAGACCCCCTCGTGCCCCTTCACAGTCAATATCCACCTTCCAGAGGTGTTTTGGTTCTTTAGTGCTGCTCTAACAGAAAATACCACACATAGGTGGTTTTAACAAACAGGAGTTTATCCTCTTACAGTTTAGGAAGCCAGAAGTCCAAGTCTGCCAGCTCTAGGGTCTGGGCAAAAGGCCCTCGACCCTGGGCTTCACCTCTGCCTCTTGTTCCCAACCAAAGCTGGAAGCATCTCTTAGCTCAGACAGCTGTTGACTGCTAAGGCTGACAAACCCAAGGTTGACAAATAAAAAGGCACAGTCTCAAAATGATCAGGCAACATGGCAGGCGACTAATTCAAGTCCATTAACAGGCCCAAGGTTGGCAGACAACATAGCAGGCCACTGAGATGAAGACTCAGCTATAGGCAGGGTCCAAGCGTGCTCAAAACTCCAAACCTTTCTCCAAGCTGATTTCTTATATATTGAAAGCAGACCACATCCCTAAGGTAGTTACGCAGCTGCTCACAGTAGATTCCACCATGGAGTTGATTACCAGTCTCATCATGGGGAATAACTACATCCAGCTGCCCAGCCACTCAACCAGGCCTAGCCAAGTTGACACACAATGTAACTACCACAAGAGGTAACCACTATTTCCTCTATTTCTGTAGATCAGTTTGCCTTTTCTTGAACCTCATATAAATGGAATCATGCAGTATACTCATTTGGTCTGGTTTCTTTTACTTAATATTTTGTTTGTGAGAACCTTTTATGTTGTTGCATATAGTAGTAGTTCATTCTTTTAAAAATGTGTTATATAGTATTCCCTTGTATGAATGTTCCACAATTTGTTTATCCAAGTTTAACCCGGCTGATAGATATTTGAAGTCTTTGACTATTGTGAATAAAGGTGCTACAAAAATACTTGTGCTTGTCTTTTTTTGTGGGACATATGTACTTATTTCTCTTGAGAATACACAAGAGAGTGAATTTGCTGGGTCAGATCTGGTTTGTTTTTAGAAAATCATCCTGACTGCTGAGAATAGCAGTTTGTAGGGGAGCAAGATTGGAAGCAGGAAAATCAATTAAGAGGCTGCTGCAGTAGCTAAGGAGAAAGATGATGGTGACTTAGACCAGGATGGCAGTCGTGGAGCTGATGAGAAGTGGTAGATTCAAAATATTTTTTGATGGTAGGGCTGACAAGAGTTGTTGATAGAGGGATGAGAGAAAAAAAGGAAACAAGGATAACTCCATGGTTTTTGGCTTGAATACCTTAGTGAAGAGATGAGGAAGACTTGGATCAGAAGTCTGTTTTTGGATCTGTTAAATTTATGTTGCTTATTAGGTATGAGTCGGGGCCAACTTGATGGCACATAACAACAACAACAACAACAACATTAGGTATCCAAGTGGGATGATGAATGGGCAGATGGAGATTTTGCATTTGAGGCTTGGTGGAAAATCTAGACTGGAGATATAAACATGAGACTCATCACCATACCGACAATACTGAAGTCAAGGGACTGCCTGAGATGACCAAGGAGATGAGTGTCGATAGAAGGGCCCAGGACTGTGTCCCTAGTAGCTCCAATATTAATGGACCCAGCAAAGGGGATTGTGAAGGAGTGACTAGTGGGGTGCATGGAGCAGTGACACCTGGGGAAAACAAAACAATGAGACCTTCCCTCAGAACTTAAAAGGGATATATATAGATATATGTGTGTGTGTGTATAGTTTTCTTCTAAGAATATGAGATTTCTATTTTAGCAAGTAATAGATCAATGTAAAGTGTATGCAAAGTCACCTTAAAGAGAAGAAATGGCTCCCTGCCAGCAGGACTTGGCTATAACCTAACTGAAAATATTAACATATTTAAATAAAGAATGTGTTAACCTGAAGACAGGTCAGCAATGAAAGCCTAGTAAAGGGAGAGTCCCTGAGGCCCACGTGGGCAGAGCTCTTCCAAGTAGCATCCTGGAAAACGTGCTTTAGTCAACCAATTCAGAGAAGTTCAGGAGTATTGGCACAGCTGCCCAGAGCATAGAGATGGGGTTAGAGAACTGTAGCCAAGACGAGAGCTTTCTGGTCTCACTGGCATGGCTCCTTACTGGGGATGGCCAGATGCCATTAAAGATACAAAGCCTCCTGTTCAGTTATATTACTGTGCATTTATATGTTCATGTTATGAATCTGATTTGGTTTCAGGAAGGGAATGTGCTGAACATGAGTTTGCAGTCTCAGTGACTGTTAATTTCTCATGGTAAATGAATACTTAGGTATACAGCTTTATATTTCAATAAATAGTGAACTTTGTTGGCACAAAGAAATATTTCCAAGATCCAGCTTTGGAGATGGCAAGGCTCTGAGCCATACCTGTTGTTGTTATGTGCTGTCGAGTCGGACCCGACTCATAGCGACCCCTTCTTGGGTTTCCGAGGCAGTATCACTATGGAAGTAGATTGCCCCATCTTCCTTCTGAGCAGTGGCTTTCCTTCTGGTTTGCAGTCAAGTGTCTTAGCCACTATGCTACCAGAGCTCCTGAGCCATACTTATCAGTGGTAAATTCAACACCTAAAATGCTACCTGTGAGGCCTCTTGGGACACAGTCTGCCAGCCTTCTCCATGTAACATGCCAGCATTCTGAAACCTCTACAGTTAGTAAAGCAGAATCACACCCTACTAGATCCGAAGGGGACCTGATGCAGCATCTAGTCTAACATTCTCATTTTCCAGATGAGGAAACTGAGGTTCAGTACAGCAGACAACTTGATCAAGAGCCCATAGCTTGTGTGGACTGAGAAGCCAGGTCAGAACCTCAGGCCAATGCTCTGCCTAAAATATTCCACCTGGAACTGGTGGACACATTCAATATGTCCACCCATCCCCAAATTGCCACCTACCCACTCAACTGTGTAGTGGGGATAGTCACCGAGTGTTACATCTTTGATCTCTGATCCCATGCCACTGGTACAGGGGTAAAGGAAAGAAGGGTAATCAATTCCCTCCTTCCTGCCATAGAAGTGTGTGTGTGGTGTGATGTGTGTGTCGTTTGATGGTAGGAAAAGAAAAAGGGAAAATGGTATGGGGCGATCTATTTTTGAATCCTTGGAGCAAATGAATAAAAGGTGAGCAGTCCAGTCAGGCCTGTAAAATCCTCTCAGCTTCAATACATCTCTGCTGCCACCAACTGAATGGAGGAGGATGGAGATCTTCACCGTAAGTAAATAACCTGGACTGTTTCTTGAGGGAAGATGTGGCAGAGACCCAGGAGTCTCTGCCTCTGGCAGCTCAGGACAGAAATCACACTTTATACATGATGTGCTTTCTCTAAATAGCCAAGTAAACTTGGAGCCCGAGCACTCAGGATTTGGGAGAGGGTTGCAGGAAAGGAGTTTGGCTGGGAGCAATGAATAAGGAAGGGAAAGGGAGGTGTTGTGAAGACAGCGAAAGCCCCTAAAATTCCTGCCATACTGGGACTGGGGCGCTAAGGAAGAGGCTGCCCCATTCATCACCTCCCTTTCTGCCTTCTCACTTGTTTTCTTGGCATCACTATTTCTTTCTTTAGTTCCTTTCATCTTTTACTAGAAAGGGGCTGGGAAGGGCTGTGCGTCATATCCAGCTGCCCTTGTGATAAAATCCCCTAGCCCCTTCATCATTTCTTCCCGGTGCCGGAGTCCCTCCCTAGGCTCTTTTCTTCCGCGCCCCCCCATCAATGGTCTCTCCCTGGCGCGGGGCGGGGGGGTGGAGAGGGGCGGAGGCGGGGCCGGAGCGTGGTGGGGGGGCTGGTCTGCATTGCCGCTTCCCCTGGTACCCGAAGCAGTCGCCGCTGCCGTCTCAGCCTCGCGGCCTGGACCCCCGCCCTCACCCGGGATTCCCTTACCCGGGGGACTCAGCCCAGGTGAGATCTCTCTCTCAGTTTCTCACCTCCAGCCCGCCCCTGGCAGAAGCATCCTTCCTTGCATTGCCTTGCAGCCATTTTATCCTCCGATGCTTTGCTTATGGGGAGGGTGACCGTCCCTGCTCTAGGAGTGAGGAGGTTGGTAGTGGTTTGGAAATGGATATTTATTTTAGCTGTTGTTGATACATATATATGCATATACAATTTTTTATTTTATTTTATTTTAAGGAAAGAAAAGGGAGGAAAGGTATTTTTCTCCACCTTAGTCAATTCCCCACTACTCTTCTCTGGGTAGGGGTTGTTAGGTAGGCTAGGGTTCCCTCAAAATCCAACTCCAACCCTTCCTCACCTTGGCGTTCCCTTCCACCCCCAACCCCCTCCTAGATGAATGATAAATGACCTTGGCTGAGCCCAGAGAATGGATGCTGCCTCAGTATGCTTGTTTGGACTTGAGGGGGGGTGAAGGAGGGGTAGGTGAAGGTGAGGGGGAAGAGGAATGAAGAGTGGTAATTCAGGGTGGCTAAAGATGGTAAGCCACTAGGGTTGGGGGCATGGAATGGGGGGCCGCTGGAGGCCCTTGCTAAGGGGGAGGGGGAGAGGGTCCAGTGATGATGGGCTCTTGTCTATCAAGAGGACCAAGGGGGGGAGGTGCTCAGGGAAGCTATTTAGTATATTCTAGGGGCTTTCCTCTTATACCAGAGCCAGGTGAGACTGCAAGGGGTCATCACAAATTCTGATGGGGCGGTCCCTAAGCTTGTGCGTGTGGAGGTCTCTCTGTCCCTGCCTCTTCCTATTCCTCTGTGTGCATTCTCAGCTGACACTTTGTTTTCCCCTCAACTGTGGATGCTCCCATTTTCCTAACCCTAGGGTAGGATGGGGAGCTCTGGTAGCATAGTGGCTAAGACACTTGCCTGCTAACCAGACGGCTGGCAGTTCAAACCCACCAGCCACTCCTCGGAAGGAAGGTTGGGCAATCCTACTTCCATAGTGATACTGCCTCGGAAACCCAAGGAGGGGTCGCTATGAGTTGGGGCGGACTCGACGGCACATAACAACAACAACAACAAGGGTAGGATGTGGGGACCTAGCACAGCCTTGGCAGCCCCGGGGCGGGGGGCTGAGGCTCTATCACTCAGCTATAATGTGGAGGGGCACTCTTACATTGCCTCCCGCATTCTGCCACCACTCTCTCCCCACCCAGAGGAGGTTTTGATAAGTGACTGCTTCTTAATGACCTTGTCACCTCTGGCTAGGGTGGACTGGAAATCAGGGTGGTTCCCAAAGTCAGGGCTTCAGTGGGGGTGGGGGTGGGGGGTGGGGGTAGGAATGCTTCTGAACCCTCCTGTTATCCAAGACTGGGTGAGTGGTCCTGAAGGGAAGTATTTGCTCAGGAGCCCCCACTTCTCTCGACCCTCTGCAGAATCTCTCCTGGGCACATTTTTCCGGTCAGGTGAAACCAGGCAGTCTTAAAGGGCCATGGAACCCTGAATCTTGTCTCCTTTAACCTCCACCTCTCCAAATCTTGTTTCTCTCCCACAGGCTTAGCCACCCTGTGCTGCTTTTGGGGCTAAAAATAGCACTACTTCCTCACCAGCTCAAGAAATTTGTCTTCTTTCTCTCCCTCCTGACCTCCTGGGCTTGTTGGCTCTGGGGAAGCTGGATTTTAAGTCATCATAACCTGCTCTGGGGGCCTTCTCTACCCTAGATGTACCTCTCAGGGGTAAATAGTGTTAATAGTCATAGGCCTTGGCTCCTGTTGAGTCCATCTGCCTCCCTTGGTTGGAGGCAGAAAGGAGAGGAAATCAAATTATTAGATACTGAGGGGATTCCACGCTTCCCTCATCTCAAGGGGGATGATTTGGGCCTGAATCATGAAGGAAAGAAGGTGACGTAGGGATTGCTTCTTCTGATGTGGTTCATTGCCCACATCTGTCCTGAGGGGGCGAGGCTTTGCTTGCTACTGTCTCTTTGAAACACACAGCACTACCTACTCTCTGCAGCCAGGGCTACTTTGTGTGTCTCTCTGTGTGTGTGACACATTTAATGAAGGCCCTGGATGGGTGGGAGCAGAAGGAAGCAGGATATTTTTAGGGGAGTGATCTCTGATCAGAAACTAATCCTGCTTCCTCTGCCTCTATATAGGAAGGGAGGTTCTCCTATGCTCCTCTCTGGAGAATGTCCTTTTTTAGGGGAGTCCCAAGGCCCCCTTCATTCTACACCAGCCTCCTACGCAATGCGGTTTTTGTGGACTCCTTTTCTTTGACTCCTGAAGGAGAAGCAGAAAGGATTAAGAGGGATTAAGAAGGGAGGCCCTGGAGGAATGAGGTGTGACTATAGACCTTAGACCCTCATGCTGGAAATATATGAGTTTGATCAGTCATTTCCATCCCCAATCCCACCAGTGAAAGGGGTCCCATGTATGATATCCTAAAGGAAGGTGACAGCAGTCATTTATCACTGTTTTCTTAGGTTTTGATCCACCTTCTTCTCCACTCTACTCAGGTTCCAGGCCTCCCTTTTTTGGGCATTCCCTTATTTGTCTGTAGAAAGAAAATGTGGGCCCAGCTGCTGTAATTATTTTAAACACAGGCAGAGAAGTCTTGAGACACTCTGTTTTGGAGTAGCACTGGGCAACAACATTCAAGTATGACCCCTTGCTGTGCCTTGCTGCTTCCTGCTTCCTTCACATCTTTCAATCTAATAGGAAGGAATGAAACTAATATGTATGAAACATCTGCAGTGAGATCAAATCCTCACACCAGCTCTGAGAAATAGGGATTATTATTCTCAAGTTATAAGGACACTGAGGCTTATGAAGGTGAAGTAACCTGTCCAAGATGCACTGAACCTGGCTTTCTCCTTGCTAGAGTACTTTTCTGCTGCTCATCCCAAAGGGCATGAAGACATAGCTTCTATTCTGGGGCCTTGTGAGGGAGTATAGGGCATCTCACTATATTAAACCAGTTGATTCTGACTCACAGCAACCCCCTTTGGGTTTCCAAGGTGGTAAATCTTTATGGAAGTAGATTGCTCCGTCTTCCTTCCATGGAGCAGCTGGTGGGTTTGAACTGCTAACCTTTTGTTTAGCAGTCAAATGCCTTAGGCACCTCACCACCAGAGCTCCTTTCTCACTATATTGTTGTTGTTGTTATGTGTTGTCGAGTTGGACCTGACTCATAGCGACCCCTCCTTGGGTTTCTGAGGCAGTATCACTACGGAAGTAGATTGCCCAACCTTCCTTCCGAGGAGTGGCTGGTGGGTTTGAACCATCAGCCTTCTGGTTAGCAGTCAACTGCCTTATGCTACCAGAGCTCCCTTCTCACTATATTACCATCATCATAAAGAGTAATAGTTAACATTAATTGAATATTTTTATTCACAAGGAGTTATGATAAGGAATGTGTATGCATTGTTTCATTTAATCCTTACTTTTCTCTTTTGAAATAAGAGGAAACTGAGGTGCAGATGGTCAGAAATATGCCCACAGTCATGAGCTAGTAAGTGCTAAAGCAAGAAGTCAAACCCAAATCTGCTTGGCTCTAGGAGCTGAGCCAAGGCTATGCTGGGAGCAAATCCTTTCTTGTAGGGCCTATAAATCTGATGAAATCCTATCTTCAGATGCCATCAGTGAACTGAAGGCAACAGGTGGAGGAGGTCTTAGTTGTCCTCCTACCTATTCTCCGCAAGGTCTACCCCCAGTAAGGATCTGACTAGAATAAGGAATTCTGGTTTCTCCTATTTCCTGTTTTGTTTTCTTCATGTTAGTAATAAGGGGTCTGAATTTGATGTGGGGTAGGGGGTCTGGAGAAGGGTTCTGAGTAGGGAGACCATGACTCCTAAGCAGCTCCCAATGGCCTGGTCTCTATATTGACTCTCACCACTTTAGGCTTCACAACTTCCTTTTTTCTCCCTTTTATTTTTTTCTAGGTCTCTAGAAGCTCCTGGAAAAGAAGTGGGCAGCCCTTCCTGAGTTACCCTGGCCCTTCAGCTTAGTCCCACCAACCTGGCTCCCTCTCCCTTTCCTATCCCCCACAACCCCTCTCCCTTCCCCACCCACTCAGCTGAACTGGGTGTAGGCCAAGGCTCCTCTCCCTCCTTCTTTCTCCTCTTAGCTGCTCACTGACCAGGTCCTATTTCCTTTTGTTCTGTGCACAAAGATACTCGAGCACACTTCCTCTGCATAGCTGTGGGGAAGGGTCCTCCTAACTCCACGAGTTTTTGAGAGAAAAGCTGAATAAGGAGCAAGGGTGGGGGAGATCTGGTGAAGTGCCCCCAAAGCCCCATCATGGAAGAGGGCTTCCGAGACCGGGCAGCTTTCATCCGTGGGGCCAAAGACATTGCCAAGGAAGTCAAGAAGCATGCAGCCAAGAAGGTGGTGAAGGGCCTGGACAGAGTCCAGGATGAATATTCCCGTAGATCCTACTCCCGCTTTGAAGAGGATGATGATGACGATGACTACCCTGCCCCTGCTGATGGCTATTACCGAGGGGAAGGGACCCAGGACGAGGAGGAAGGTGGTGCTTCCAGCGATGCCACTGAGGGCCATGATGAGGATGATGAGATCTACGAGGGGGAATATCAGGGTATCCCCCGGGCAGAGTCCGGGGGAAAAGGCGAGCGGATGGCAGATGGGGCACCCCTGGCTGGAGTGAGGGGGGGCCTGGGTGATGGGGAGGGTCCCCCTGGTGGCCGGGGGGAGGCACAGCTGCGGAAAGAGCGGGAAGAACTGGCCCAGCAGTACGAGGCCATTCTGCGGGAGTGTGGTCATGGCCGCTTCCAGTGGACGCTCTATTTCGTGCTTGGTCTGGCGCTGATGGCGGACGGTGTGGAGGTCTTCGTGGTGGGCTTCGTGCTGCCCAGTGCTGAAAAGGACATGTGCCTGTCTGACTCCAACAAGGGCATGCTGGGTGAGACACATTGGGGGCACTTTGGGCCTGTCTTGTCTCAAACTTTGGGCACACCCTTGCTCCTGAGAACTGCCCCTTTCCTCCTCACTGAGCTCCTTAGGACCCTGTTCCCAGGATGTCCCCAGAGGACTCAGAGTTCTCTCCAATATTATCCCCTCAAGTATACCTTCCTTTTAGGGCGGAGTCATAGTGAGGTTATGTGTGAATGGGGCCTGGGGAAGGCAGCTGGGCTGGGACTTGGAATGAATGAGTTAGTTCTCCAGAAGGTGGCCACAATGGGATGAACCACCATTTAACGTTTCTTTATAGCCATCCCTCTTATTATATTCCCTTCCCTTCATTTGGGGGAACAAGAAGTCAGTATGGGCTGAGAAGGGATCAGTTTTGGGTGAGGAAGCATTCTGGGTTTTCAGCTAGAGAAGCTGGATACACTTGTTCTCATTCCAGCCTTGAGAGTGACCAAGGGCCAAGGAGTAGTCTCTGATGGCCGTTTCTGAATGGAACCCTGAAGGAGGAAACTCCTAAACTCACTGAGAGAGGATCTGGGCTTTGCTCTGCCACCAAGTTGCTGTGGAATCTTGGACAGGTCCCTTTTCCCTGGAGTTTAGCTTGTTCATGGATAAGATGCAGAGTTAAGAGTAGATGATCAATTCCAACTGTGGTTTTATGAAGAAATTAAGAAATGGGAGACTAGAAGTAAGAAATTGAGGACCAGAGTATTGGGACCAGAAGGAGTAAAGGGTGTTTTTTGTGGGGAACTTACAGGTTCTGGGAAGACTGAAGGATTGGAGCCCTTTCCCCCAGAAATATAGAGTAACATCATGCTTCTTTGAAGGCATCAAGGAAGGGAGGATAGAGAGGATGCTGGGAGGGCCTGGGATCTGGGCAGATTTAGTCCTCAGTTCAGACAAGCTGTGTATGTGTGTGAGAGTGAGCGAGAGAGAGAGAAAGAGAGAGGAGAGAGAGAGGGCAGGAGGGAGAGAGAGAGAGAGAGAAAGAGAGAGAAGTAGTGAGACAAAGAGACTGAGAGAAAGAAGAGGGGTTTTGGGTTCTGGAGTTCTCTTGTATTTGCATCCCTGTCTTTGAATCCCTGGCCTGCAGAGATGGTCTTCCATCTTTGTTCATACCATCCAACCTCTCACTTACTCTCATCTCTGGATACTTAGCTTCTAGAAGTCCTTGATCCATTATGCTGCAGTTTTAGCTCATTGAATGCTCATCAGGTGGGAGCATTGAGATACTCTGCTCATATCCCTTCTGCCTTTGCTTTCCTCCTTCCAGGCCTCATCGTCTACCTGGGCATGATGGTGGGAGCCTTCCTCTGGGGGGGTCTGGCTGACCGGCTAGGTCGGAGACAGTGTCTACTCATCTCACTGTCAGTCAACAGCGTCTTCGCCTTTTTCTCATCTTTCGTCCAGGGTTATGGCACCTTCCTCTTCTGCCGCCTGCTTTCTGGTGTTGGGTGAGTGACCACCTCCTAAGCCCCTTGAGGGCAGGAGTGTGTTTTGGTCACTGATGTATCTCTAGGTGTACCAAATGTACCTTAAATATGTATGAGTTGAATGAATGAGTGAATTCCTTCCCCCCACCATCTTCAGCCCCACTTTCCCCTGTCCGCTGCCTGTCCTGAAGGTCCTTCCTGAGTTCCCCACTCCACCTTCTAGTTCCATTTCTGAGCCTGACTCCATAAAGAGCCCTAGTGGGTCTCAGCCTCACCCTCACCTGTTGTGGACCTGAAGTTATTCCCTTCCTAGTCTACATATTTCCCGCATTTGACAACAGACCTTCCTAGTACCCACATCTGCCAGAACTCTGAAGCCTTGCCCCTTACTTTTGTTCAGTCACCTGAATCCATTCCTACTCTGACTTCTCTCCAAGCTCCTTCTGGTCTGCTCCTAGTTACCCATCCTCAGATTCCTTTGCCCTTCTTTTTTTTCTCTGGGGATTTTTTTTTTTTTCCTCTTTTTCTATAATTATCTTTCTTCCCTTTCAACTCTTCAATATTTAATGTTTGTTCCTTTCTTTTCCCTGAAGCCTGCTGGCCTATTTCCCATAGTCCCAAGGATGGGTGCTTGATGAGTGATGGTGAGGGGAGGATCTTATAGGGCACTGTGTAAGAAGGAGCCTGTTTAAAAAGGTCTGGAAGATGGAAGGTGCTTGGGGATCCAAAGCACTGGGGCAGGGGATCAGGAATATGGCTGCTATCTAATGCTGAATTCTTCCAATGCCCTCCAGGATTGGAGGGTCCATCCCCATTGTCTTCTCCTATTTCTCGGAGTTTCTGGCGCAGGAGAAGCGTGGGGAGCACTTGAGCTGGCTCTGCATGTTTTGGATGATTGGTGGCGTGTACGCAGCTGCTATGGCCTGGGCCATCATCCCCCACTATGGTGAGCAGCCCCCAGGGAATCCACCCCAGACTCTCTCCCTCCTCTCCTGTGGTGGGCTCTCTGCCAATGGTTGTGACTCTGTCCCTGCCAGGGTGGAGTTTTCAGATGGGTTCCGCTTACCAGTTCCACAGCTGGAGGGTCTTTGTCCTCGTCTGCGCCTTTCCATCTGTGTTTGCCATTGGGGCTCTGACTACACAGCCTGAGAGCCCCCGCTTCTTCCTGGAGGTGAATGGGCCTGGGGCTGGGGCTGGGCTGAGGGAGGGTGGGTAGTAGGAACTCCTGTGTTCAAACAGTCACCAAGGGTTTGGTTTGATCTTGTGTGGCAGCCCTCCTTTCTTACAGCATCCTTACTCTAGGGGACTTTATTCTGCTTCCTTTGTCTTGGATTTTATCTCCAGAGAGAAATATGGGTGGAGAAAACAGGGGATCTGCTCAACTGTGGTGGCTTAAGATTTTGCAGGCAGGGGCCCTGGTCCAGGCCCTGACTTTACAGCTCAAGAGAAATCCCCATCCCCAGCTCCTTCCCCCTCCAACTCTGCATTGCCCAACAGAACTAGGATATGGCCCCTGGCCCTCTGCATACTTGCCTATCATTTCCCTTGTCTTCGGCTTTCTCTTTCCATTGCACTAGAGGATCCCTAGGACCTGTGCTTGTATTTGTCCTGTGGACCCAACCCTACTCTTCCCCAAGTCTTATTATATCTTGCTATACCCCAGCTTGGGGCTCTCTCAGGGTGTTAGATGAATGTGCCTATAGGTTAGAGGTTAGTGGTAGGGTCGGGGGTGAGTGGCGGCTTTATTGTGTCTGATCCCAGAGGTCATGTTGGAAGGAGGGAATGTCTGTAACCCTGGGTCAGGGAGGGGCTGACCTGGATATGGGCATTGTGTTTGTGGCTCTAGAACGGGAAGCATGATGAGGCCTGGATGGTGCTGAAGCAAGTTCATGACACCAACATGCGAGCCAAGGGGCATCCTGAGCGAGTGTTCTCAGTAAGCCAGAGCCCTCCTCACTCATACCTCCAAGCTCCTGAAGCCCCAACCTATACCTGTCCTCTCTCTAGATACCCCCTATCTTACTAGACATCTCAGACCACATTCTATCTCAGTGAGACTTCTTGAGGTATCATATCCACACCTGCCTCCTGTTTTGCTACTGCATGAAAACTGAGGTGCATGGAAGGGGTTGGAAAATACAGACTATGTGACTGCTGGGCTTGTTCTCTTGACTCTAGGTAACCCACATTAAGACAATTCATCAGGAAGATGAGTTGATTGAGATACAATCAGACACAGGGACTTGGTACCAGCGCTGGGGAGTCCGGGCCTTGAGTCTGGGAGGACAGGTAATGAGGGATTAGATGATGGAGAGAAAGTAGTGAGAGAAGGGAAAAGGGAGTGGGAGAGTTGAAGAGGAGGGTGGAGTTTGAGCCTAGAGGAGTGATGCGTAAACTGAAGGAAGGTGGTAAACCAAAAGAACCAAACTCACTGCCATTGAGTCGGATCTGACTCAACGACCCCTTCTTGGGTTTCCGAGGCAATATAACTACGGAAGTAGATTGCCCAAACTTCCTTCCAAGGAGTGGCTGGTGCGTTTGAACTGGCAGCCTTCTGGTTAGCAGTCAAATGCCTTAGGCACTATGCCACCACAGCTCCCGAAGGAAGGTGGTAAGGCAACAAAAAGGGGATCTGTGGGTGCTACAAAGAAACACAGTCACAGTCTAACTTTATTCTGTCCCGTCTAGGTTTGGGGGAATTTCCTGTCCTGTTTTGGTCCAGAATACCGACGCATCACCCTGATGATGATGGGTGTCTGGTTCACCATGTCATTCAGGTAAGCGATTGGTAGGATTGGTGGTATCAGATGGTTTGAGGATTGGGAAAGAGGTGGAGAAAATGGAAATTAAAAGGAAGAATAACAAGGGGAGGTGTATTCATATCACCTCTGATCCTCCTTCCCACCCCTCCACTTCATTCATTTATTCAATCAACTTATACACTGACCAGTATTGAGTATCTATTCTGTGCCAGGGACTGTGGTGAGGTGAAAAAGATGTGATCTCAGTCCTCAGAGAGTTTACATTTTGGTCAGGAAGCCAGATAAAACTAGCTGTAGAGAAGTGTGATGAGTGGCACAAAGGGGGGAATACGAAGTACTATGGGAGCATATGGAAGGGGTCTTCCCATTCTAGATTTGAGGGTGGGCATCTAAGTTCATCTAAGGATGAATGGCAGTTAGATAGGCTAAAGGTAGAGTGAGGGAAGAATGTTTCAGACAGAGGGAAAACCAAATACCTGAGAGATAAGCAAGAGTATGGTGGGTAGGTAAGAAAAATCCAAAGTTCACCAGAACTACAGCAATTGATGAAGGGAGGAGTGGTTAGAGATGAGTCTGGAGGAGCAAGGTCATGATTGGGCTGACTTCTCCATTTCCCTTTCACCTTGGACTGCCTGGTTGTAATCTCTGAACGCTGTCTGATTCCATCGCCCTTGACTCTTTAGCTACTATGGCCTGACCGTCTGGTTTCCTGACATGATCCGCCATCTCCAGGCAGTGGATTATGCAGCCCGCACCAAAGTGTTCCCTGGGGAGCGTGTCGAGCATGTGACTTTTAACTTCACCCTGGAGAATCAGATCCACCGAGGGGGGCAGTACTTCAATGACAAGTATGTGGGGACTTTTAAACTCCACTCTTCTCATCCCTTCTGCTCCTTGCCCTGTATGAGTTTGGGGGTTCAAGACAAGGCTCTTTGGGGAAGATACCTGTGCCTTCTCCTCAGTCTCACAGTTCACTCCACTAAGGGAATGAGTCTTAGAGGAGGGGATGAGGATGAGGGGAAGTATCTCTCATCATCCTGGTCTTACAGGTTCATCGGGCTGCGTCTGAAGTCAGTGTCCTTTGAGGACTCCCTGTTTGAGGAGTGTTATTTTGAGGATGTCACATCCAGCAACACATTTTTCCGGAACTGTACATTCATCAACACCGTGTTCTATAACACTGGTAAGATGGAGTGGCTGGTGGGTATCAGGTGGAAGGGTTGGGTGGACCTTGAGGAGGGTGAGAAGGATCATCCTCATTTACTAGCTCAGGGTTCTCAACCTGACGTCTCTGGACCCCTGGGGGAAGGTGACATAGGGGCCTATTTGCTACCAATTTTTTGAAAATCTCATAGAAATTGAATGTTTTCCTGTGATAGACTATCTGACAGAAACATCAAGTTTTTTTGCCTTTGGCTGGAATCATAGCAACTCAGTATGGTAATATTAATGAACTTTTGAAGAGGACAGCAATCTTCAAAATGGCATCCTGGGGTGGGGTGGGGAAATAAACAATAAAAGGGATATTTGGTGGGGAGAGGATTGGGAGTCACTGCATGAATCCATTTAACAGTGACTCTCAAACTATATGCATATGAAGTGCTGGTAATGTGAGTTATATTGAGGTTTCTCACCTCTAACCAGAAGGCTGGTGGTTCAAACCCACCAGCCACTCCTCGGAAGGAAGGTTGGGCAATCTACCTCTGTAGTGATACTGCCTCGGAAACCCAAGAAAGGGTCGCTATGAGTTGGGCCGACTCGATGGCACATAACAACAACAACAATACCACCACCTCTAAATAGAGTACGAGGTGAGGTTTTCCCACTTTGCAGGAAAAAGAGAATGGATAGGACTTTTAAAATTCTTTTAAATATTTTTTTCACAAATGTTTCCTAAACCCATGGCACTTACTACTACCAGTAATCTGCTAGGGTGGACAAAAGGAATGAGTAAGAAGCAGTACTTAGAAATAGCCAGTTATGAACTGTGGTCATTTTCTACTGTAAAGATTCCTAGTTCCAATGGTGATATTTGATGTTTTGCATGACTGCCCTGAATGATTTTAAGAGCCCCCGCCACTGCACCCCACAAAGTCAGAGCCCTGAGCCATAGTCCGTAGCTGCCTTCCTCTCTCCTTTGCTATGATTACCTGCCTGTCTTGGCCTTTGCCCCCAGACCTGTTTGAGTACAAGTTTGTGAACAGCCGTTTGGTGAACAGCACATTCCTGCACAACAAGGAGGGCTGCCCACTAGATGTAACAGGGACTGGTGAAGGGGCCTACATGGTGTACTTCGTCAGCTTCTTGGGGACCCTGGCTGTACTTCCTGGGAATATCGTTTCTGCCCTGCTCATGGACAAGATCGGCAGACTCCGCATGCTCGGTACGGGGTGGGGAGAGTCTGGGTAGTGGTGGGACAGAACTGATTGGGGATCTGAGAGTGGGAAAAGGCTGTCAGCAGGCTTCTCCTTGGGCTGTAGAAGAACTTGGCTGGAGAAGGCTCTCTCTCTCTCATATTTCTGCTCAGGGGGTAGCTATAGGAGGGGACAGGGCCTGGCACGGAATCTACTTTGTAGGATAGGCACAATAGCAAGTGGTTAAGGGCACAGGCTTTGATGTCTTGGGTTTTGATTCTCAGCTCCACCACTTACCAGCTGACCTTGGGCAAATTATTTAAACTCTGTGAGCCTCAGTTTTTCATCTGCAAAATGGGGATGATAACAGTTCCTGCCTTACAGGGTTGGTAAGGAGCTCTGCTGGTATAGTGGTTAAAACGTTCAGCTGCTAACCAAAATTTTGGTGACAGTTCGAGCCCACCAGCTGCTCCATAAGATGAAGCAGTTTGCTTCTGTAAAGATTTACAGCCTTTATAGCCTTCAAAACCCTATGGGACAGTTCTACTCTGTCCTGTGGGATCATTGTGAGTCAGAATTGACTCGATTGCAATGGATTTGGTTTTTGGTATAGGGTTGGTACATTAAATAAATGTATATAAAATATTAAGTTGCTTGGCCCACAGCTGGCATTGAATAAATTGTTGTTAATAGATGTTATTAGCAGCTCTGGTGGCTCAGTGGTTAAAACGTTTGACTGCTAAACAAAAGGTTGGCTCTTCACATCCACTAGCCACTCTACCAGAGAAAGATGAGGCAGTCTGCTCCATAAAGATTATAGCTTTGGAAACTCCATTCTACTGGGTTACTGAGTCGTAATCAACTAAATGGCAGTGAGTGTTTTTGGGTTTTATGGATGTTATTAATAAAAATATAAGGGAGGCTGAAGCTGAGTGAAAAGTTTTCCTTTTGAGTGTCTTGGGAAAGATAGAGTATCATCCTGGGCTGCCTCAAAACTAGCTGATGGGACCAGGTGGGTAGTGGATGGGCTTCATTGTGGCCAGGCTCACGCGGCTCCCTCCTCTCCTGGCTCCAGCTGGCTCCAGCGTGATGTCCTGCGTCTCCTGCTTCTTCCTATCTTTTGGGAACAGCGAGTCAGCCATGATTGCTCTGCTCTGCCTTTTTGGGGGGGTCAGCATTGCATCCTGGAACGCGCTGGACGTATTGACTGTCGAACTCTACCCCTCAGACAAGAGGTAGCTGGAGTGAGGTGGGGCAGGGCAGCAGGTTTAGGGCCTAGAGGGCAGGGGAGTAGAGGGGTCAGGAAGGGGATCTGAATGGAAAAAGCATCCTTAGGGGGTAAGGGGGTACATACTGCCATTGAATTTCCTTTCTAAAAGCTGGTAGCTTTTGTATCTACTCCTTGAAGTCTTAACAATTAACCTCATTCTTTGGTCTCTTCCCCACCCCCCAATTTACTTATACTCCCTGGCACACCTCTCTCTCATCTCTCCATCCTTACCTCTTGAACACTGCTACCATCTCACCTTCACTTTCCCGCCCATTCACCCTTCCCCCCACAAACTCTCCCTTGCCTCTTCCTGTGCCCCTTTGGCTCTGACCTCCCGTGCTGTGCTGGGGCACTCCTGAGCAGGACCACAGCCTTTGGCTTCCTGAATGCCCTGTGCAAGCTGGCCGCTGTGCTGGGGATCAGCATCTTCACATCCTTTGTGGGAATCACCAAGGCTGCCCCCATCCTCTTCGCCTCAGCTGCTCTTGCCCTCGGCAGTTCTCTGGCCCTGAAGCTGCCTGAGACCCGGGGGCAGGTGCTGCAGTGAGGGGGTCTCTTGGGCTTCAGGAGTGGCAGGCACACTGTGAGACCAACAGCTCCTCCTTCCCCCTCCCTGCCTGGCCATCCCAGCCCCCAGAGACCTCCCCATCCTCCCCATCTCTGTTTGGTGTCTTAGCTGTGTGTGTGTGTGTATGTGTGTGTGCATGTGTGTGACCCCCGTGGGCAGGGACTACAGGGAAGGCTCCTTCATCCCAGTTTTGGGATGAAACTCTACTTCCCACCCTTGACTTTGCACAAGAGAAGGCTTAGCCCCACCCTTCTCCCCAGTGTTAGTGAGGGGCTTCCGAAAGGCTTCCTGCCTTCCCCCTCATTTCCTCTGCCTAGGCCCTGGGCATCACACAACAGGCCCTGGAGAAACCATGGGGCGTGTGGTTATGCTGGGGGCTGGGGCTTGGGTGCAGACCCTGGACCAATAGAACTTTGGAAGGGCCTTGGGTGGCCTCTCCCACCTCCCATTGGATGCTGGGGGAGTAGCAATAAACTTCAGCCCCCTGGCCTCCACGTCCCTCAATTTAGGCTACAAATATGAAGCTTAAATTTTATGAAGTTAACTTACTGATTCTTATTTATTTATATGTTAAGTTCTGAGGCAGCTTGGCAGGACTGTGTGTGTGTGTGTGAATGCGTGTGGACACTTATGTATGAATGTGTATGTGTGTATGTGGGGAGGGGCTATCACTATGTTGTCCTAAAACATAAGCCAAGGGTAATTTCAACAGACACACACACAACTCTGCCTCCCATAGTACCTCCCCTAATCTTGTTTCTGTGTTTGGTCTCAGGGGTGGCGGGGGACAAGCCCTAGGCCAGTTTGGATAATAGTCCCACAGTGTAGGGAGATCTGAGGGCACTGGACAAGGTCTAACTCTTCCCCTCTTCCCAAGAAGCACAGGCCTCCTCTGCAGTGAGAGGCTTCACCCACTACAGCACAGGGAGGGACAGCACAGCTGCCCTCTCACCCCCTACCTGGTCCTTCACAGGCAGGGGAGTGGGGGAGGAAAAGAAACCAGGCATTAAGGTCAAACCAGCAGATCAAAAAGCACAAGGAGCTGGGGCAGGGGCAGGAAGCAGGGGCCCTCTCAGCAACTCCTCTAAAAGTGGGGAGAGGTTGGGCAGTAAGTGAGGTACCCCTACTGCAGGGACCAGAAGCCTCAGTTTCCCTATCTCCTCCTTCCACACAATAGCCCCTGTAGGTTAAGCTGCCCGTGTTCGACTCTACTGTGTGGCTGCTTTCTCTGGTGCCCCTTCACTGTAGCTGTGACATGTTGTAGTTTTTAGCTGTTTGTAAAATGTTTAAAAAAAAAAAAAAGTTAAAGGGAAAAAAAGCAAAATCAACAACAAAAGGAAAATCCAAATTCACCCTCCTCATGCTGCGTCTGGTGCCCCACCCTAGGGTTACTCTCCCCATTTTGTAACACTGACCCAGGTGGTGACTGTTTAACTCTTTGGTGTCTGTGCTCAAAGGACTGCCTTCTTCTCCAGTGCCCAGTGTACGAGTGTGCCCTCTTCCTTCCCCCTTCACTCGCTGGACGCAGCCCTCTCCCTTGCACCCCTGAGAGGGACCCATCCTTTTCCTTGCTCTCCTGGGGAATCCTGAACCCAACTCTGTTGATGTGAAAAATGAAATGAAAAATGATGAAAAATAAAAAGGAAATAAATCCTTAAAACCCCAAATGGCTGTGTCTGCTTCTTTGCCTCTCCACTCAGATCCAACTCTGTTCTGCTTCCTGACAGTCCTGATAGGGGGCGCTAGTGAGATGGAAACCACCTCCCTCTCCAAACTGAAGGCCAGAATAACACAATATTTACTTCCTAAATTGGCCTCTCTACCTGACCTTTCCACTTCTACAGATGGAAGGCCCTCTAAATCTTCCAGATCCCAAAACTTGGGGTAATTTTTTCTCAAGCCTCTGACATGCCTTTTACATATGTAGCTTCCAGACCCAATGCTTGATTGATGGAATCAGGATTCTTTGCTATCTTCTGATATCTTTATGGTGCCTCTCAAATCAATTTCTCCTTTCCATTCCCACAGCTGACTCCAAAGTCAGAGCTCTACCCTTTCACTCTTGGTTGATCTCTGTGTCTCCAGTTTCTCCTACGCCAATCTACCTACACATTGCTGCCAGATCAGTCTGGCCCAAAATGTTCTTTGGCATCCCCTTCCTCAAAAATCTTCAATGATTCCCTACTGCCCATGCAGATGCAGTCTAGACTCTAGCTTGAAATGGTCAAAATGTGCGTTAAGCATTTTTCTCTAGTATCTAAATTCTATTTCTACAAACAGATCATCAGAAAATTGCTTATTTTTACTTTACTTGAACTCCCCTCAGAAACAGAATTTCATCTGGAAGCCTAAGAGAAAGGGTTACATAGAGGTTTTTCTATTTTTTGTAAACATATTCTAGGTTCTTATCCTCTTCTTACTGCTTTAGTGGTTTTAAAAATACACATATATATGAACACACGTATATATATTATTTTTTGTGTCATCATGTGCAAAAGAATGAAAACTGTTCAGTCCTGCGCCATCCTCACAATTGTTGCTGTTTGAACCCATTCAGTGCTGCAGCCGCTGTGCAAATATGTCTGCACACAAATGCAAATCCTTTTTGGAAATGGACAGTCTGTTAAAAAGCCTAACATCCCCCCTCCCAGTATGGAATTCAAAGGTGCCTATAACCCCTGCTTTGTCCAATAACTCACTGCCCTGTTCAGCTCCTATGCCTTTGATAAGACTCTTCCTCCTCCCTGTAACATCCTTTCCTCTTTCTGGTTTAGTTCTGTGTTTTCCTTTAAAGATCCAACTCAAGTCACTTCCACCAGGAAGCCCTCCCTACCTAGTCTATAGGGATTTTTGTTCTCCCAGGAACATTGATTCAACAACCCATTAATGACCTGGCAATGTACTTCATACATGTACAGGTCGGTTTCCAACTCATTAGGCCTACTGCTATCCCTTGTTGTTGTTGTTGTTATGTGCCGTCGAGTTGGCCCCGACTCATAGCGACCCCTCCTTGGGTTTCCGAGGCAGTGATTGCCCAACCTTCCTTCCGAGGAGTGGCTGGTGGGTTTGAACCGCCAGCCTTCTGGTTAGCAGTCAAGTGCTTTAGCCACTATGCTACCAGAGCTCCCACTTAAACATTTAACAATTGGGCAGACTTTTGAGAGCACTTCAGAACAAGAGCAGTAGTGAGTGATTCTGCCGTTTCCGAGTTAGCTTTGGCCTGAAATTAGCTGCTCTCTCTGGAAAATATGTATGCGCCAGTAGAATGGGGCTGAGGGATCTTCACCCCTTACAAACCTCAGACCATATTTGAGGGAAAAAAGCCCCAGTAGTTTATTCTCACCCAGCCCATTCAGATCCTGATCCTCCCTCTCCTTTGGGACTTAGGGGGTTCCTCGAGTTTTCTTGCTTCCACCCATGCAGGGAGGGCTCATGTCCAGTTGAGGGTTCTCCCTCCACTGAGCCGGGGTCCGCGCCTGGATAGCCAGTGCGTGCACCGGCCCTGCCAGCTCCTCCGACAGCGCTTCGTGGACCAGCCGGTGCCGCTGCAAAGGGCTCAGTCCCTCGAAGCGAGAGCTCACTACAGCTACACGGAAATGCGTCTCGCTGCCTGGTGGGACCGCGTGGCCTCGACTCTCGTTGCGCAGCTCCAGTACCTCAGGGCTCAACGCCTGCTCCAACTTTGCGCGAATGGCAGCTTCCACCGGACCGACAGTCCCCGCTCCCGCGCTGCTCCGGGACAGACAGACGCGGCCGGCCATGGAGACCACACGCCCGGCCAGTCGTCCACTCAGCATCGGCTACGGTAGAGACGGGACACGGGAGAAATAAGTGTAAGTGTCTCTCTTGTCTGGTCAAAGCCCAGTCTCACCAACTCTCTTCCATACCCACGGCCTGCAGGACCGACGTCCACACCACACCCCTTTCCTGCTCTTCTTTGTGTTAAGTACGGGAATTTGGCCTCAGGCGTAGGCACTGCAGGGGCGATTTGAGGGAGGTCCGCGCTTAAGGCGCATCCTTCACTAAAGGGATTTGCAGGGTATGGGCTGGACGCTGCAAGAGTAAGACGTGTATCTGCGGTCTTTTGGCTGGGCTGGTGCCCCTGAGGCACCTCCGAACCCCAAGTCAGGCCCTTTCTACCTGCAGCTTAGCCTCCGCTACAGCAGTTCCTACTCAGACCCGGGACCCAGGGCGTCCTTAGGTAAAATGTAGGCCTCGCGTCCCGAGGCACGCTGGGAAATGAAGTCCTTTTTAACCGATGGTGGCAGCGGCAGTCGTCACGTGGTGCCCCGAGATTTCATGGGAATTGTAGTCCCTCCCGACTAGTGAGGTTGCCAAGAGATTCGAATTTCAGGGGATGCAAAGAAAAGGATTCCTGGGCAATTGAGGTTGGGATTGTTTGATCCATTTTATTACCAAAGGATGATGCAGATCATCTAGCCGTTCAGGTACGTTATTTTACATATAAGAAAATGTAAGTCTGTTCCATTCTCTGAATACGTTAGTTATGGCGTGCCTGACCAACAGCTGGGGAATAGAATGGATAAAGGAGCTCTGGTGGTGTGTTCAAACCCACCAGCCACTGTGGCTATTTAGCAATTAAAATTTTCCAAGATTTCTCTAGCTATTTATTAAGCATGTATGATGTGCCAGTCACTGAGGATACATGTGAGAAGACAGATAACAACTTTTTTTCTTTAGGAACTTAAATTCTAATTGGAGTGAAGAATAGATTAAACATATAAATAAACAAGATAATTTCGGATAGTGATAAGTACTGTGAAGAAAATAAAAGATGGTAATATAGTCGGGGATGGCTGGAGGCTGTGGTTGGAGAAGGCCTCCCTGGAAGGTGACATTTAAAAAGAGATTGGAATGACAAGAGGGAACTAACCCTGCAGAGATCTGGAGGAAGACAGATCTAGGCAGACTGAATGGTTTTCACGGAATTCTAGATGTGTGATGTCAGGTACAGTGTTGGTATACTTAGGTGCTCAGTAAAATGTGATATAGATGGACGAGTGAATTAATGTATAAATGGAGAGGGCTGACATCATCATTAGTCCTTTTGTAAAAATAAAAGCTTTTCAAGTTGCAAACTCTACAGCATAAGCTTACTGTCTTTGTTTCTAACAAAAACATAGTCACAATAATATCTGCTATTTAGTGAAGATGTGTCATGGCCAGATTAAGCCATTTGAGGTTTCAGGCACCAGGAGATTATGGTGGCCACTTTATGTGTAATGAAACAAAACAAACAATAATAAAAACTAATCTATAACATGAAGACTGGGAGACCCAACAAAATAGTGATTTTTTTTTTTTTCCTATGGTGATGACTTCAATCTTTTTTCATGGAAAAAAAATTTATTTAGGTATAATATACATATAGGAACCTACATAAATCTTAAGTGTACAGCTTAATTTTATATATAAATACACCCATATCAAGATATAGAAAATTCCCAGCATCTCAGAAGGCTCCCTCATGCCCAGTGAAGTCAGTACCACCCTGCAAAGGGTAATTACTGTTCTGAGCTTTTTCACCATAGATAAGTTTTACTTGTTTTTGAATTTCATGTAAATGGAATTACATAGTATGAATTCATTGTTATTTGTCTTCTTTTGCTCAACATTATGCCTTGAGATTCTTCCATGTGTATAGCAGTAATTTGTGCATTTTCATTTCATTGTTGTAGATTATTATATTGTATGAATATATATTCTTATGTGTATTTTATTGGATATCCAGGAGTGGAACTTCTGGGTCACTGGATAAACTCAATGTTTATTTTTGAAATGACAAGTTTATTCAAAAAATTTTTGGGATCACCTGCTTTGCTGGTACCAGGTATTGTTCTAAATGTTTTATATTTATGAACTCTTTCAGTTCTTATAGCAACCCCATAAGGTGGCTACTGTTACTACTCTCATTCTACTAAGAAGGAAGCAGAGAACTTTAGGGAACAGGTAACTTACCCATGGTCATGGAGCCAGTAAGGAAACCAAGACAAGGAGGCTGCAGAGCCTGGGTGGGCTCTTAACCATTAAGCTATTTTACCTCCAAATCCAGCACTGGGGCTTCTCAGGTTCCAGGAACTGTACTCATTATTTATTTATTTATTTTAATAACTCTAATTTATTCAAACAACTCTATTATGGTAGAGTATATTATTTGTGTTTAATTGATGAGCTTCTATTATATTTTCTATCATTCTGTCATAGTGTATTAGTGATAGTAGGCACTTGGAGAGTGGTTAATGACTAAAGAAACACATTTAAAAAACCAACCAAAACCCACTACCGAGTCAATTCCGACTCGTAGTGACCCTGTAGGACAGAATAGAACTGCCTTATTGGGTTTCTAAGGCTGTAAATCTTTACAGAAGTAGATTGCCTCATCTTCCTCCTATTGGTGGGTTTGAACTTAAATGATGAGGAAGACAAAATCTCTCCCTTGAGGTGGTCACAGAAGGAAGGTGAGCATAATACAGAGTGTACATATCACCAAGATGTACACAAAGAGATGTGGGTACACCCAGGCTATGTGTATGGGAGCAAGGAAGGCTTCATAACAGAGAAAGTGATCTGAAACTGGAAGGATGAGAAGGTAAAAAGGAAATGGAAGTGTTCCAGCCAGAGGCAACTGTCTGTGTAATGGCAGGGAGTCCTCTCATGACTGGTCTGAAGCTCAGTATGGAGGAGGCTAGGGTTGGGGACAGCAGGAAGAGGGATGCCTTACGCATCCTTCCGAATGGTGAAATAGAGCTAGAATGCAAAATAAAGGTTTCACTGAATTGCTTGAGAAGGAACTCAGTTACTTTTGGTTAAAGATCCCAGAGATGTTAAAAGAAATTAAGATCCAACCTGTTTTTCTATGATGCCTGCCATATTTTATTTTTTAATAGCCCTGGGAAGAATGTTGGGAAGGGAGTGCTGGGAAGTAACAGTAATTGAGTTTGGTATAACTTGTCGGATATTGGCCTATCTAGACTTAACTGAAGGAGCTCTGGTAGCATAGTGGCTAAGACACTTGCCTGCTAACCAGACGGCTGGCGGTTCAAACCCACCAGCCACTCCTCGGAAGGAAGGTTGGGCAATCCTACTTCCGTAGTGATACTGCCTCGGAAACCCAAGGAGGGGTCGCTATGAGTCGGGTTTGACTCGATGGCACATAACAACAACAACAACAACAACAGACTTATCTGAAGGAGCTCTGGTGGTGTAGTGCCTAAGGCATTTGACTGCTAACCAGGAGGTTGGTATTCAAACCCACCAGCCACTCCTTAGAAGGAAGACTGGGCAATCTACTTCCATAAAGATTTACCACCTTGGGAACCCAAAGGGGGTCACTATGAGTCAGAATCCACTCGATGGCAGTAGGTTTGGTTTGTTTTTATTGAGACTTATCTGAGGTTTTGTAGCTGAATGGGATCTGAAGTATTACATTTAATTCTCTTTTATTTACAGAGAAGGAATGTAAGGGTGGAAAAATCAAGTGACTTCACTAAACTCAAATGTAGTTGTTGAAGCAGTGTGAATGAAGTGGTAAAGAGCATGATCTTTAAGTTAGGCCAACCTGAGTTTTAATCATGTCTTAGTTAGGTTGTGTGACCTTCAGTAATGGCTTTAACTCCTCTGAAGCTCAGTTTCTTTATCTGTG